CGGTACGCAGCAAAGCCAGAACAGCGCAAACTTTTATTCCTCCTTCCTCCTCGTCGATCGGCGGCGCCCTCCTCTTCCTCTTTCCTCATCGTCGAGGCTGCCGCTAGGGATCTGGTACAGACGCAGCATCGACTTGTTGGGGTCCTTGACGAGAATGTACTTGCCCTCCTCGCGAGCGAGAATCATGTCGGCGATGGTGCGGACGATACCCCAGCCGTTGGACAGCGAAAGGTTCATCTGCGAGGCAAAGTCGCGGGGCTTCCAGCCGACAACGCCGAGAATGACGTGCTTGTCGTTGGAGCGGGGGTTGACACGGGAGACGAAGCTGAAACGTATTAGTATGGTTCGAATATTCAGAGAAGAAGGGGGGAACTCACCCGAGCTTCATGACGTCGGACTTAGCGAGGATGCTCTGCACCGTCCACCTGGCCAGCTTGCAAGAGTTGTTCTTCATCTCGGTGGCGACAACGGCACCGCGCTGGCTGACCAGCTTCTGGCGCCAGTCGAGGGCGCCACCGCTACCCTGTGCCTTCGAGTCGAACTCGTTGAGGGCCTTGACGGTCAGGTACTGGTCTTCGCCGGAGATGGCGTTCTTCTGGACGGCGTCGACCTCGGTCCTGACGATGAGGTGGACAGGCTCCTCGTCGCTGGTCGACAGGTCGAAGCGGCGGTACTTGTAGGCCTTGGAGGCCGGAGGGTCGGTGTCCTCGGAGGCGTTGTAGAAGGGGTTGCTGTTGGGCATGTCAACCTTGCTGTTGCCCTCGAGTACGACCTGGTTGGCAAAGTTGTGGTTGATGTAGGTGGCCTCCTCAGCGAGGGCCGACGGCTGGTTGACAGTGTCCTTGCTGCCCTCCGAGGCCTCGAGGGGCGCATCGGCGGCGTTCTCGTTGACCGTGACCATGTCGAGCGCGGCGTTATCACGCTTGTCAAGGAAGATCTTGTTGCCCTGGCGGACAATGACAACATCCCACGAGTAGACGGAGCGCGGCGCACACATGATCATGGAGAGAATGCTGTCGGTGGCGAAGATCTGAGCCTCGTCCTTCTCGGCGAGCTCCTGGATGACGGGGTCCGACGAGGTCGTGACGTTGTAGGCGGCACGGTCGATGGCCGTGAGCTTCTTCTCGGCGTTCTTGACCGGCGCCTTGTCGTAGGAGCGGTCGTAGTAGTAGAGGAAGCCGTAGCTGTCGACATCCTCACCCTCGTCCGTCTCGAGGTTGAGCTTGGCCAGGCGGTTGAAGTCAATCTCCTCGAGCATCTTCCAGTCAGGGCGAATGTTGATGGAAGCGTCACGGTTGCGAGCAGGCTTGTCGTAGTCCTTCCAGCCGAAGCGACGGCCACCGCGGCCGCCAGCACCACCTCGTCCGCCACGCGAGTCGAAGCCTCCGTAGCCGCCACGGCCACCTGCCGCACCGCCGCGGGTTGCCGTTGTGCGTCCACCGCGGGCATCACCACGGCCGCCACGAGCGCCGCCGCGGCCGCCGCGAGTGAAGACGGCACCACGACCGTACCTGGTCTTGGTGCTGTCGCGTGTGTTGCTGACGACGGAGAAGGATGACTCGTCTTCCGCCGGGGGGGCGTTGAAGGTGACGGCGTGGCTCGCGCCGTACACTTGTTGGTCTGGAGACTGGTCAGTGGTCTGCTGTGGGGTGGTGTAGATTTATCGATCATTTTCCCATGCTGCTTACCCCTGTAGTTTCTGTTGTACTGCTGCCTTCCACCACGGCCGTCCTGGCCCTTGCCGTCGGCAGTCCAGTCGGCCATGCGGCCCAGCTTGTCGCCCTTGGAGAAGGGCGCATAGGGGACGCCGTTCAGCGTGGTGTCGCTGGTGACCGAGGGGCCCCAGCCATCGCCGGCGGGGCAGTTCTCGACGAGGGTAACCCAGTCGACGTTCTGCGCCATGATGACCTTATCCACGGGGGTGATTTGGAGATGGGATACGGTCGGTTCGGTGGTGGGTGTGCAGGTTCTCGGAAAGTCGGGCGTTCGTCGTGGCGGCCCCTCGTCGACGATTTTCGCAGTTCTCAGTTCTTTTGGTGGGGTGAGCTTTGTGGGGCAGGGGCGGGCAGCCGGGCAAGTGAGAGCGCCTTCTTTCGCACCTTCCTGTGCACCTTCCTGCGGAGTCAGATCTCTAAGGGTGTGCGCCTGGTGGCAGCCGGTGGCAGCTGTACGTTATTTGCACTTAACCATGTCTAGATTCCCCATCAACTCCCATATCATTTCATACAACAGCACACACGGGGTTTATTCGTCGAATATTCATCTCTACGTAGCATGTTCATCAAGCAATACACCATTTCATCCCAAGACATCCGACGCTACATCTTCGTCGTAACTTCATATCTTCGCGGCACAAATATGGCGCAGATGCTGCCTCCCCTGCCACTCGTGCCCATCCATCCTCACCCCTCAAGGGTAAGCTCCCATGACATTCTCCAAAGCATCTCTAATCTCAAACTCCTCCAAAACAGCGCCGAACCTGAAAGAAGTCAGCCAGAGTTCCAGAAATCAAAACGAGCAAAAAAACTCACCCGTAGCACCGAATCTTAGTACTCAGCTCCTCCGTCAGCTTGGCAAAGTCCTCGGCCTTCATCTCGTAAAACCTCGAGTGAGCCATGACCATGCCCCACGCCATGACGGGAGTGATTTCGCCATCTAGATTAAGCCTCTTGCTGAGGGCGAGCAGCGTCCCGAGATCCGCCTTGGACAGCTCCCACGTCCTCTGGCCCGAGTTGAGATCACCGTTGACGTGGCGTAGCCAAAGGGAATGTCGGGCGTCAGCTCAGGGAAAGGCTCGGGGGGGCACGAGGCCATGAGGGCGTGGCCGCAGGCTCGCCGCCCACTTCGCTCGATCGCTCGAGCAGCCAGGGCATGTGGTTCACCAGGGCTTCTCTAGTCTGTGGTCCAGAACGACACTTGTCAGCCAAACAGCTCTTCTCATTGAACGCCATGGGCCTGACCGTACCACGCAACTGGCGAATACGGCTGCCGTTGACTCCATCTTCACAGGGAAACTTCATCACGGCCGGGGAGGTGAAAGGTAGGCTTTCGAGGGGTGATCGTACGTTAAGACGAAGTCAATGCCCGCTTGCTCATAATCCACGCCATTGACACCGTACTGTCCCTGCAGGTGTTGGGACGTGCCATGTTGAGGATACTGTTGTTGCTGCTGGCCGCTGGGCGTGTTGCCGTGGGAGCTGCCACTGTTGGGCGCATACGAAGGCGACACGGAGGCGGTGGTGGATTTCGACGTCAGGGGCGGGGTGAAAATGGAGCGAGAGCCGTGAGTATGGCTGTAGCCGGAGGGGCTGGCGCTGGCAGTGTAGCCGCCGCTGGGGTTACTGACGCTGTCGTCGAGGCCGACGCTGCTGAGCGGTATGCCGTGCTGGGTCAGGAGCTGCCTGAGTTGCTTGTTCTCTTCTGCGACCTTGTCCTTGTCCTGCGACATGTTGCTGAACACCTCCTTGAGCCGCAGGACCTCGTCCTCGAGCGCCTTGATGTAGAGCTCTTTCCTCTCGCGATGGGTTCTGTGACGACTGATAAGCTTCGGCGCTTGTCATGACAGCGCAGCGCTGCGTAAGGCGTTGGCGACGAAGACTTACCGCTGTGCTTGTCTGTTGAGCTCCTGCCGCCTCGTCATGGCGGGTTTGCTGTCGGGTTTCGGCCCCCGGCGCTTGGGCGGTTGGCCATCTACAAATCGTGTCAGTAGTGAAAAATGACGTATCGGCCGCGGCGGAACGTACCTCGTGTCGCCTTTTTCTCGGTAAGGCCCTTGAGGAACCCGAGGTTCAGGTTGGACAACGGGCCGTTGTCCTGCTCGGCACTGCTCGAGCGAGCATGCCTCGAGGAGGGATTGCCCTGTTGGTCCGACGGCAGGGACGACGACATGAATATGAATCGTTTGACGAAAAGGCAGAATGGGCAGTGCAATGGCGCAAGGCTGTTGGCGATGTCGCGTTAGTTTCCCCGGCCAAACGTTTGGAAACTGGCAGCAGCCGGAAGCGGGGACAAATATCTGGTACATACACTTCAAGAGAGATTGAGGTGGTCTTGCGACGGGCGCCGAGCGCAATGAGGCAAGAGCATGCGGGTTTGCTCTTCAGCAACAGGCGACAGGCTTGGGGTACGCGTAGATAGACTATCCAGAACAGTGGTGGTGTAGCACGTCGAAAAGAAGCGTGGCGACCAGCAGCGGACGCAGGCGGAGCTCTGGAACATGCGATGGCGACGATGGCGGAAATGGAGAGCGCCAATTGACGAGACACCAAATCGAGGTTACAACCAGCCCACCCTGCAGTGCGCCTGACGTGACGGGAGTTGCTGATGAACAGGTCTCGCGGGGGGGGGGGCGAGACTTGAAACAACGCCTCGGTCTCAGACGATGCACGACACGATCAGACTGAGCTGACGGGTGTGAGTGAGAGGTATTACTGGAGATGTTCAGACGAAGTGTCAAGGCTCGGGTTGCCCAGAAAGCCTGCGACTTTGTTTGTTTGCACTGGCGATTCAGGTTTTGACGATGGAAGCATGGACTATGAGTATGGTGGGCAGGTAGGGATGATGCAAATGCTGATGGAAGGAAATAGGGTCGTCAGCATTGAGGCTGGGGGGCGACGACTGATAATTGGATGTACCTCGAGCTACGTAAGGCCGAGAGCGTGGCCCTATCTAAGATACCTCGACTAGGTACGATGCAGTAAAGGACGTACTTAAGTACGGATGGCAGTGATACCCCTGGAGATCCAGCTAGTCAGCACCCTAGCACCACATGCGGCTTGTCGAGAGTCGAAGAAGCCAATGGCGATGGCAATGGGTTTGGCACTGGGCCGGCGCTTGCTGGATTGTCTTGGTGACCAAGATGACGTTCGGCGGCCGAGGTTCGTCGGGCACTATCTGGTCGAAATTGTCTACCGGCAAGCTACAGGTGTCGGACTCTCGGGGCTCTGCAGGCATGGAGAGAACTCGATCGCCTGCAGCTGGGCGCTGAGCTGTTCGGGGTTTGCGCACCCTGTGCATGCCTGCCTCACATGTAAATGTAAGCCGGCAGGCGGGCGGCCAGCTTTAGTAAGCACCCCCGATCCAAGAGGAGGGGTGCTCCAGGGCTTGGCTTTACCTGCCTCTCCCACCTTGTCTGAGCAAAGCCCATCGGGCTGTTTGTTCCATCAACTCCATCAAGCCTTTTTCGACTACCATCGTCAGTTTCCCTCACCCCGAACTCGACATCAATGGTCTTGTCATCTCAAAAAGATATAGCCCTGCTATCATTTCGTTTTGGTCCCTTGTAAAATTGATCGACACCAGGACCGAGCGCTTCCACGGCTTGTCTCAAAGCAGAAATGTCAGCCTACTAGGTACTAATGGAAGCCACACAGCCCTAGCCAGACACAGGCCCTGCGCCAGTACCGACAGTGCCGCACATGGTACTGTCCCTTCCCATGTCCTCTCTCTAACCGGATCCACGGCAGACGCTGTCAGAAGCGGTCATGGAGAAAATACCGCCCGCCCCCTCCCTCGGCTCCATCGGTCAGTCACCATGGTGTCTCACAGATGGTCGTCGTCATAGACGAATTCGTCCGTTGCACGCGACCCTCTTCAGCGCCCAGAAAAGTCATGGCCCGCCGCCATGAGGTGCTTCCCGCTTCCCGCTTGGGACACACCGACTCGCGCTAATTGGGCTCGCTGCTGGTGCGCCTACGAGCGAGCACCCATGAGGGTCTCGGACTTCGGGTCTTGTTTCTGATCTTCTATGGATGCGCAGGCTAGACAAGACTGAATTTCCATCTGCCGCCAGCCAGCATGCACCGCATTCTGAAGCTTGGACGCCAGGTGTGCGGGGACGAAGCTTGCTTGCCTGCCACTTCTCGACGCTTCACCCACGAGAGGTTCTCTTGCGACAGCCATGCTCCCGTAGTCTCTTCCATGGTAGCAAATTTCACATTGCCCTCGACCTGACCTGACGCAACGAAACACCAACCGCGCCCCGTCCCTACCCGTCATGGCTGGCCACGGGAATGCGCTCACGCACATTCGCGGCGCCGTCATCCTGGCACCGTGGCTCATCTTCCTCCTTCTCGCCGACCTAGCCCTCTCCCTGCAGCTCCCTTTCAAGATCCTCTTCCCCAACCTGGTCTACAACTCGTCGTCCCGCATCGCCGAGCCCGTCTGGTACTGGATCCAAATCATCTTTGAGCGCTTCAACGGTGCCAAAATCACCTTCTCCGGCGATGCGCTGCCCGCCGGCGAGTCGGCCATCGTCGTGGCCAACCATTGCGCCTGGGCCGACTTTTACATGATACAGGCCCTCGCCGTCCGCGCCGGCATGCTCAGCCGATGCCGCTACTTCGCCAAGATCCAGCTGCGCATCGTGCCCTTCCTCGGCTGGGGCCTCTGGGCCATGGGCATGCCCATGGTGAGCCGCAATTGGGCCAAGGACAAGCATGAGCTCGATCGTGTCTTCGCCGGCATCGTCCAGCGCCAGTGGCCGACGTGTGAGTGAGCACGGGGCGGCCGAGTGGCAGCAAGTAGAGAGGGGGTATACTGACACCGTGCACAGGGCTCGTCAGCTTCAGCGAGGCGACGCGCTTCACCAAGAAAAAGTACGAGCAGTCCATCGCCTGGTGCAAGGAGGCCGGCCGCCCGCAGCCCAAGCACCTCCTCTACCCGCGCACCAAGGGCTTCATCACGACGGTGCAGCACCTGCGCCAGGCACCACACGTCAAGGCCGTGTACGACCTCACTATCGCCTACCAGCACGGCGACGAGTGGCACGCCGAGCCGACCATGTGGGACACCCTCAGCGTGCCCGGGCTGAGCGACCGCCTGGGCTACCGTTTCCACGTGCACGTACGGCGGTTCCCACTCGAGTCGCTGCCGGAGAAAGATGAGGATCTGGCCAAGTGGCTGGAGGAGCGGTGGGTTGAGAAGGGAGAGTGGCTCGAGGAGAAGAGGGTTGAGTGGGCAGCGACGGAGGCGTGATCGAGCTCAAGACTTCAGGGACGGTCAGTGGAGTGGCATGGTCTCTGTACAGCGAAAACGCAGATTTTTCTTGTTGAATAGATGGTCTTGAATCAATTTCTGAGAGGCATGAGGCAGCAGCGTGGGGAGGACCCAGGAGGAAAGTGACGTGGTGTCTCGATCCTCGATGGGTGTTCAAAGAGGGCCTGCAGAGAGCAGGTTTCCAGGGAACCAGCAAAACAAGTAAACATCAATCAAATCACCACAATTCAGTGGGATGACAGTCTGGTGCGCGGTGATGTACTGTAGCAAAATCATCAAAAGATGAATCTGAAGATACGGTGTTTGCGCCGTACGTGAATCGAACACGTCTCTCATGCTAACGCTGATGGAAGGCAGGAATCATAACCACTAGACCAACGGCGCTTGTTGTTGCAGATACGTCCGAACCAATCAATAACATACGACAGTAATATTGACATGACTGGGACATGGATCAGCCTCTGCATCAAAAAGTACGTTTCTTCGAAATCGTAATGCCTTCGTTTCTTCTGCAAAACCATTCATCTGCGCTGTCAGGGTGTGCAGCGCAAATGTTCATCTTTTGTTCCTTGCAAGGGGTAATGACCATGAACAAAGTATTGGATGATGTCTCCATTTGCCTCGAATGCATTTCAAAGTCGCGAGCATTATATCACTGATTAGAAAAAAGCTACTTCCAGTGGCACGACCGGCGCTTGAGCACCTCCATTCAGGTTGGCGCGACGATACGTTTGTCTAGTTGTTTTCAAACATATCCTTTTGGAAAGAGCTCTCCCTCCATACTGGGCATTCATATCAGCGACTAGAGAAAAAGCTCTTCCTCGTCACTCTCCAGGATGAAAGCCCATGAAAGGCAGAGTACACACGTGAAATAAAGCAAAGCGAAGCGTGTCGACGCTCAAGCACCTCACTGCCTTAACACGACTGCAAACCCATAGACACATGCATTCTCTAGACATTCTCTCCGACCCGACATGCCGCCCAACTCGCCAGATCAGTCAGACGCCCGGAACAAGGGAAAGGCACCGCTCTCTGCTAACACCACCGCCCCGCGAGGAACCCAACCGCGAACCCGACACCGAGCACCGCGGCAACCACGCTCGTCGTCCCCTTGGCCCCCAAGCCCGACACGTCATGCCCCAACCCATCGATCCAGCGCCTCCGCAGCCTCAGCACTCCGATCCGCATGAAGAACATCTCGTGCACGTCCACCGCGCTGCCCTGCGCCGGCATCCCCAGCTCCGTCGAGCTCCTCTTCTTCGGCGTCTTGGACTCGACACTTTTACTGCCTATCAGCTCGTCAGCACCAGGTCTAGAAAGCAGGATGCGAGCACAAGGCTGGGCAAGAACATGAAAACGAGGTCCAATCAAGGAATAACAAATGGGCACCAAGTAACAGAGAAAGAAACATGACGATGAAGAAAACAAAGAGCAGAAGAAAAAAGGAAAGGGGAAAACTCACAGAAGCGTCAGGCTGACATCACCCTGCAACCTCGCCTTCAGCTCAAGCTCGACATCCAAGTTCAGCCCCAGCTGCAGCCTGACCGGCTTCGTCTCGGCCAGCCGCGGCAGGATGCCCGGGCCCTGAAGGCCGGCCTGCCCCTTGGCGGCGAGGGCCTTGTTGTTGTTACGCGAGCGGCGGCGGCGGCGACCGCGCGAGTCGACGCTGCTGGCGGCGTCCGAGGCTGAGTCGTCGAGCTGGCGGCGGAGGTCAGCGAGGAGGTCCGCCTTGGAGGAGGCCGCGGGACGGCCTCCGCCGCCCGCGCCGGCTTGGAAGAGGCCGGAGGGGGGCAGGGGGGGCGAGGAGGTGGATACCTTGGGCATGGTGGGGTTGACGGAGGCCATGTTGAGTGCTGGGCGTTTGCGAAGCGTGGGGTGATGTGCTTGTACGGTGCCGCGGTCTGCGTCGTCGTGGTAGGAGGGCCGAGGGGAGAGCGGGGTCTTGGGTTGGGAGAAGGTGAGGGTCGTCAGAGACTGGATGAAGGTCTTTGATGAGGACTCGTAAAGAACGGGCGGCTTTCGTTTGCGCGAGAGGCGAACAAGGCGGAGCGGCTTCGGTTGGGGGACTGAGGGAGGTGGGTGGAAGCCTTTGGCGGGCTTGCCGGTTGCTGGATAGTACGGGGGCGGCTGGACGAGATAGGAGCCGGCGGTAGGGACAGAGCGCGGAACCGAACGTGGAGCGGAGGCTGTCTCTTGCTGTCGCTGCGACGGCGGCGGCGGCGGCGGGGATCCTGAGACGGCTTGAAGCTCAAAGGTCTTCTCACTGAGTTCGGGGCCTGTGAAATCGGGAAGGGTGCGGTCAACGGGCCCGTCGTTATTTGTCTGGTCTAGTGTGACAGGGAGGACTGGAAAACAAAAGCACAGAGAACTGAGAAGTGACTGATCCACGCCGGCACTGCTGGCGATAAGGTGAGAGAAAGACGGGAAGCGCGCTGCCGGAGGCGGAAGAGACTCTAGAGTCTGGATGTGTGTGTGAGTGAAGGGATTGCGAAGAGAACCAGTCTGCCTGAAGAGAGACAAAGGAGATGAGACGAAGAGCATGAGCTACTACCCTATATACTTGCCATATCGTAACCTTCACATCGCCATCTAAGCACACCATGCTGCGGTCAACTTACAGGATGATGCATCACGTGGTGGCAGCCGTAGGGTCAGGGGTGCTTTGACATGGCATCTCAAGCGACCCTTCTACTGAAAACATACGATGATCTCAACCCCTGAAACAGCGATGCAACCTCACGACTCTCCTGCCCCCAGCGTATCAAACCGGCCGAGATTTACGATGGCCACTCCATCTGACCACAAATTCTGGCATCTAACCAGAATGGACGATGCTGGCCTGATCAAGTCGTCTCTGTCCTCGAGGGGCCCAAGCATAGTCAATAATTCTTAAGCGGCAGTCTAACCACAATACAGGGTCCGTGGTCTGCAACATACTGCTCCATGCCTGATGCAACAGAGCCACGCAGTGCTCAACGTCCAGGTCTGTGAGATGGCATCGTAGGCTATGTATATTCCAGCACTGTTCTTCCGAAAAGGGAACACTGCGACAGACCGGTTGAACGAGCCATATTAAGATAGTAAACTTCATGTTTCTCGCCATGAGAAACGCTTCATTCATGGCAGGTCGGCGGTCCCTCTTGGGAGCCAAAGAAACAAACATCCCCATATCCTTACAACGCCATGCTCCACGGATCGTCGAAGCTTTACGCCACTTGCCACCTGCCTGCCGCACGCCGAGTCAGGACAGCGTGCCGGATGCACTGCTTCAGGGGTGTAGATGAGAGACCCGACATGCATGGCAGTGATTGCCAAATTGGCCTCTCCGTTCATGTTCTAGACCCCCGTTTGTCGACCCTTTGTTAAACAGACAGACCATTGCCCCAACATGAAGCATACCATCCATGCAAGGCTCCGAAACCACCCTCGTCGAGGAACGAAAAATCAACTCACAAACGCCGACGCCATTCATAAGACAGGAA